CTCTGTGATTGGAAACTAGTAGAGCTTTTCTCAGTATATTTACGTAACTCGCAATTTATCTATACACATAATGTGTTGCATTTTACATTACCATTAATGTAGGTACCTACCTAAATGTCCTTAAGTAAGTAAGAAATAAGAGTTGTAAATCTATGTAATCGTACAAGCACCTTTGTATATGGATTTCACAAAAACTATCGTTAAAATTAGATTTTCTCAGTTCTAAACTCAGTGTTCCGTCGTCGCGTGATGTTTAGGTCATAACCTCTACGTCGCTTAACTGATATAAGTAGGTATTGAATTTAATATCCGATTTCATAATTTAAGAGGTTATACAGTCAAACAATAAACATTTTAGGACCATTAATACCAACTACTATTTAATGATTCCGATCGTAATTTTTTTTAAATGTGCAATGAATACAATTTTCAGACGACCCTTTTGACCGTTGATTTTAAGACATCGTTAAGTGCTAACTGTAAGTCATTACTACTTACTTATATTTTCCATCTGATTGCCTTGAAAACAACAATACATAATCAAGCTACAAGACCACATGGAGTGGATAAACCACACTTTAGTCATTAGCGGCCGATATACTTACATCCACTGCTGAACTCGTGCATGTCCTAAATCTACAAACAGCTACCGAGGCACCTATAGGTAACAGTATCCTCAAAAAACTGCGAAGTGCGAACCCCAACTGGCCTTCCTTGCGATGTACTGCAGTATACTTTTGAGGCTGATGATGTTGACGATTGTACCAAATATAATAAAGTGATGGCTCCTTTCAAAAGGAGATTAGCAGGTATCTAGTGGATCGCAGTTACATTGCCTAAAGTTGAAAGGATGTTGTCGCATACCTTTTGAATCTCCGTGACTGTTTATTATAAAGGTAGTCGTAGTTTTTCAACGTACCTAGGTCCAATGGTTATGTGTAAATAAGTAATTTATACAACCACAAAATCAATAACACATTTTTAGTCACTAGGTATCCTATGAAGAATTAAGTTAAGCAACCTTTTTTTGTCCCCAAGGTGGGAAATCCTCGTGTAAAGCAAAATAGGTAAATAAAATACTAATGCAAATACAGATAATAATTTGCACATTGATATTAATAGAATACATCGAACAATGGCCATGAATGTGTTATCTTTGCAATAATAAATTGAGTATTATTATTATAAAGTCAGTTTTTGTTTTTGAGTCTAGGTATGCCTACAATTTTGTAGTTGGCGTTGAAGATACGTTTTCCAACTTTTGTGTTTGCATAGACTACACACCGTTGGCTAAGGACTAAGCGATTTTCACCCGCGCCCGTTGTGGTGGCCGAACTGCTGGCGGTCTGGAACTCAAGATCAACTAATTGGTAAACCGGGCGGTCTTGCTATAATCAACCGCCAAGTTTGTGGGCGATGCGATAATCGCAACCGCGACGGTTGAACCGCACAAAACTCCGTTCTCGTGAGTTTTAAAAATAAAACTCCATTCTACACCACCGCAGCGGGCGCGGATGAAAATCGCTTAGTCCTTAGCCAACGGTGTGTAGTCTATGCAAACACAAAAGTTGAAAAACGTATCTTCAACGCCAACTGCAAAATTGTAGGCATAGCACTCAATAAAAACTGGTGGCTGGACAACTGACTGCCATACATCGTGAGTTCGATTCCCGCACGGAACAAGTCTGTGTGATCCACAGATTGTTGTTCCGGGTCTGGGTGTCATGTGTATGTGAACTTGTATGTTTGTAAACGCACTCACGACACAGGAGAAAATCATATTGTGGAGTAACGTTTATTTAAAAAAAAAATCAAGTTATAACGCTTTGTTGAAACTACGCTGCGCTTTGGTCTATTTTTAAATTAATAGGTAACCGATAATCTTATTTCTGGAAAAACTAAGAATAAGCATGCATTTAGTTTAGGTAGACATTCTCCATCTACAAAAAGTGACATGCAATTTTTACGTGTCTAAATTACTAGTTGAGAACCACACAAAAATATGACCTTTTATGTATTTTTTATTTAATTATATCATACCACGCCAAATAACAATTTTATTGACAAAAAATATCACGTAAACGTTTTGAATAGACAGAGCTAGAATCGCTATGTCTGTGTTTTTTTTTTACTGTGTTTTTGTCTGTGACTTTATATGTTACCTGTTTTATGTGTCTGGTTAAATGACCATTATTGGGTTGGTATCAGGAAGTTCGGTGGTGTTTAACACTGTGCGCGTGACCTCTGTGGGGTCGAGTTGGTCTGCCATCCCGTCTAGAATGAGGGAAAAGAGAGTAAACCTGTGTTTGCGTACACAATTGTGCACTACCTACAATATCTCTTGTATAGTGGGCTAGTCTAGTTAAACTCACCACCACGATCGAAATCGATCGGAGTGCTATATTTATTTTTATAATGTGTTTGAATATGTTTCTATCCATACTTACTTAGAAGTTACTTATGCCAATTTTTACGCCAGTTACATTACTTATAAGTCCCGTCTATGGTAAGGTATATTAACTGAAAATCGCTGGTTACTCACGTGAATATACTGAGAAAAGCTCTACTAGTTTCGAACCACAGAGGGATTCTTCTTTATGAGCAGCGTGCGCGGTCGCGGCGATGTCGCGCAGCCTACAGACTACTAGGAGTAGGCTCTCAATACTCAATTTCAATTGTCGTTTAGGAGTAAAAAAATCGGAAGAAGGAAGCTTGAGCAAGATGCGGAAATTAGGTATTATGCATTTATGATATAAAATACGTTTATTTTTAAACTAATTCGATACAGGCTTGCAATTTAATTCTGTTCATTTTTAATATTCGAAGTTTATTGACATTTTTCAATTTGGACCTTGAACAAGAGGCAATATTGAGCTAACAAAGTAGAAGCAAGCAGGTACCAGTTTTAGTTAGGTATTATATTTAGATTTTTGTATAATTTAAGACTTTGAATGCAAATAAAAAACTGTTGAAGGTAAATCCTCCGATAACGCCGGTCACCGGTGACCCCCATGGCGTTTAACGTGTTAAGCAAAAATTTGAACATATTAATATCTCGTAGGTAATTTATAGCTTCTTCTGAACTACTACATCGTCTGGCTCGGAAAGACCTATAGGTACCTACAGACTGCATTCAGAGGCTCCGATCTTTTATCGACATATAGGTACCATTAAACCTTCCGCAGAATTACTTTTTAAATCAGACAGAAAATAACAAAAAACCATTTAGTAGCAGTTTTCCAGTTTATCTTGTATAGATGTACAGACGAAGCTGGGGACTTGTTTTATATATAAGGATGTGTTACAAAATAGTAGAGTACACATGATCTAAAAAATAATACAAGTTAAGCTTTTTCTATATAAAACACTAGTAGATGCCCGCGACTTCGTCCGCGTGGAATAGAGACTTTGGATAGGTCTTCATAGTACCTCTCCCGTAGGTGATAGCTTGATGATATGTAGCCTATATGTTGACCTGGCCTATTTGTAATATTCATGCAAAATTTGAAGTAAATCGATGCCGTACCTTTTGAGTTTAGCCCGGACATACATACATACCTACAGACAAACAGATAAAAATTCTAAAATCCATATTTTTGGTTTCAGTATCGACTGTAGATCACGCTACAAGCATTCTTTTAGAAATATTCGATGTGCAGTTTACAATTTCCTGCGATTTTATTATATTATTATGCACGCCGTCATATCTCTTTCTTTAAAATAAGTATTGTGTATAGTACCTATGTTAGTAGTACATGTTTTTCGTTACAACTTAAATATAATATTAAATAATTATCCATAAGTATAAGTTTTTTGATGACATTTAGTTAGGCGTTTTTGTGTCTTAACATGTTTTCTCGACATACGAAATCAGTGTTCAAAGAAACCTTTGTTCTTTATTCCTAGAACTTGTCATTAAACATAAAGTAAAAAATATACCTAGGCAACAATTTTTTTTTATTAACAGGATTTTAAAATATAATAAATAGGTATGTACCTAGGATTTTTAAAGTGTGGGAGAGCCATACTTCGGCACGAATGGGCCGGCTCGACCGGAGTGATACCACGGCCTCATCGAAAGAAAAAGATGTGAAACAACACTTGCGTTGTGTTTCGTCGTGTGAGTGAGGTTATTGGAGGCCCAATTCCTCATTCTCCACCTTGTAACATCTCTGGTGTTTCGGGTTTCCATGAGCGGCGCCGATTGGTTACCATCAGATGATCGGTCTGCTCGTTTACCGGCTTTATCATCAAAAAAAGAGAACTGACCAATCTAACAACTCTTTAATTACAAGTGTCTTACATATCGAAAAAAGAAAATGTTTATCGTAGTTTTTTCATGGTAAATATGACATTACATTTTTATGTAGTGTCTGTTGCCTAAAAGATAAGAATTTTATAATATTATCACCTGTTATTCTGTATTCTATTCTGATATAAAATACGTTTTTACCTACGGTTCTCATCTTCAATCTTTTATAATTCTCTCGTGCTCACTTTTCACTAGCTTTCTTTTGTATAGTCTCGTTAACATAAAACCATCTTACTTAGGCCTGTGCCAGCGTAAGTTAAACCGCGGAAGACTTAACGGGTTACCAGGGGTCCGGCTCGAAGAGCAAGAGTAGGAACGGGGTGGTTTTTAGTCAGTAAGAGTCAGACACTCCCTTCCGCCTCACCCAGGCGGGAGCAGTCATTCGATGATTTTCCCCCCTTAAAAAAAAATACTTTTCCCAACTTAGTTGTATTAACAACTCAATATACATAATTATGTATATACTGCAATCGATGTTACGACTTCCCCAACAAGATTGTATCATTAATCAACAGAATCATTTAATAATTAATTTACTAACACACAATGATGATACTGTATAATATTTGTCCTTGAGATCAGATCGCGAAGTTTATATATAACAAGAGTTGTGATTACCCAGCGATTTGTATCGTGACCGAGCTTTTGTGCGGACTATTTTAAGATTAACCTTAAGTAGTAGTGCAGAATGAGTGCCATTTTAAATACATTTATTTTATTAACGCAAGCCATAGTTATATTCGCGGCGGGTAAGTGTTTTTATTATTTCATTTGTTTATTTAATATTTTATTTTATTTATTTATTTACTTATGCACAACACACAGACAGTACACAGGAGAATACATAGGTATATAAATAAATTGGAGGTACATAGGTACTACATATTCTCGTAGGAATCTCTTCCTGCAGTCCTTCGACAGGAAAAACAGTAAAGTAAAAATTAAGACACTATGTGTAACATGGCAAAAACAAAAAAAAATAAATAAACAAAAAGTTAACAAAATTTAAACCTATAAGTACTTAAAACTACATACCTACACAGAATAAAACCGATAAATAGTGTATTAAATAAATAGATCTCAATAAAATACATAACCTATTTTATGGTTTATTTACTTTTACAAATTAGTATTCTAATTTTAATATTAGTGTTGTAAGTGTAACATTTTAGGAACCTAATAAGTATACTAAAAATTTTAACAGAAATATAATAAAAATTGTCAAATTAGTTATGATGGAATATGGATATGTCATGACGGAAATGTGAATATAAAACAAATACACTTCAGAATTAAACAAATTCGTGTTTTGACGATGCAAGTAATTTGGTAACGACCATTTACAACGCACATATTTGACGACTTTAATGTTACATTTTTTGGACTGTCATCATCATCAAAAGCCTATATGCCCACCGTTGAGCAAAGCCTCTTCTTCCACGAAGAAGGTTTGAGCATTAATCACCACGCTTGCTCATTGCGAGTTGGGGATTACAAACTTATAATTAGAAATTATAAGCCCAGGTTATCCTCATGATGTTTTCCTTCGGCGTTTGTCGGTGGTGTCTAGATAATCTTACAAAGTACATACAACTCGGAAAGTCACATTGGTACTTGCCGTTGGTAGGTTTGGACCCGCACCCTCATGCATCGGTAGGCGTCTTAAACCTCCGAGCCACCACGACTGTATAAATTTTTGGACTGTGTAAAATTGTTATCTCCTTTTACTTATCATATTAGTAAACACAAAATAATAGACATTTTCGTCGCATTTACAGACTACGTGCGATACTAATTGGGTAGTTTCTAGGGTAAGAAAATTAAAAATCTAATTAGTTAGATAATAAAAAAATATTAGACACGTGTTTTTTTATTTTCTCGTATAAAGTTACAATATTTAGATAAAATGGAATTAAATTTAAGAGTGGGAGGTCGTTACGTCACAACGTGCTACATTTTGTTGCACGCTGTGACGTCACACGACATTTCAAATCAATATATCGTCGAATGCATTTAATTTTGTGAGAAAAGAAATAATACGTGTCTAAAGTTTTAAAATAATCTACCAGACGGACATTAAAATAAAATTTAGGAAACTAGCCTATTATGAATTTCATTACACTTAATATTAGATATCATGTTCCTAAAATATTTTCGTCCGTAACAGAATTTTAATAATATTGTATGTCTATTTAATAATAACTCCTATAGTAACTCCTTGTGCGTTTATTATATAATTTTATTAACACTTTATGAGGACCTTGTACAGTCAGTTTAAATAAATCTAAGTTGTCAAACGTAAGTTGCGCAGATATTTGCACAGTTTTTTTTATAATCTATATACAACGTATTACGTTTATTATAGGTACCTGATTTCAAAAATTCTATTTAGAGAATTTTCTATAGTGCGTAGATATTTTATTAAGTGCTTACATGTACAAACTAACCTATAATATTTATTTATTTTCACTGAATGTGATATGAAAAAAATAACAAAATTCGTTTGTCTTGGTTGAGTAGGATCAAATTACCAGCAACAGAAAATTTAGCGTGGGTATATTTTGTTGTGCCTATTGGACTGGTAGACAAGCAAATTAACAAACTCTTCAGATATATAAATAAAGTATAATAATATAATTATATAATTGTATAATTAATTATACAGGATGTAAACGAAACGCTCCCGACAAACACCGACTGGTGTATTAGTAAAAAAATAGGTTTATTTTTATAAAAGTAAGGAATTCAATATTTCTTTTAAGTAATAATAGTTATAATAAATAAATAAATAAATAAATAATATTTATTTATTTATTTATTGACTGCACGGTTGGTGCGGTGGCTGGGCAACCGGCTGCCGTGCAACGTGTCGCGGGTTCGATTCCCGCACGGGACAACACTTTGTGTGATCCACAAACTGTTGTTTCGGGTCTGGGTGTCTTTGTGTATGTGAACTTGTATGTTTGTAAACGCACCCACGACACAGGAGAAAATCCTAGTGTGGGGCAACGTTTAAAAAAAAAAAAAAAATTGCATAAGGCTGATTTTGTAATAACACGATAACAAAAATAATGCACATAGAAGTGACGTCACGCGGCATTTCAAATCGAAAGTATTCGTTTCTGTAAGAAAAAAAAATACGTGTCTAATGATTTAAAATAATCTAGCAGATGGACATTTAAATAAAAATTAGGCACCCTATAATTGTAAACCTTTTTTCGGGAGCGTTTCTTTTACACTCGGTCTAACTGTACAACCTATGACAAGTAATTAGGTTCCAGAGCTACTGTAGGTTATAATCATGATCATTAAATAAAACATAGTAGCGACTATAAGGTCAATGATGCAGTTAATCAATGGTCATTACAATTATTACATTCTAACGATTTGCCTACCTACTGGGCCCTTTAACCATAGTTATGTTTCGATGCATAAGAAGGTAATGGAATGTAGTTCAGACAAGCACAGGGGCTTCTTTTTACTCCACATGCGAACTGCTGAGTAGTGGAATTCTTTGCCAGAGTGTGTATTTCCTAAAGGGTATAACTTGGGTGTCTTCAAGTCCTGAGTAAATAGGTTGCTAGTGGTCCAAAGTCGACATAACAAACACAAAAAAAAAATCAGAGTGATAAGAAGCTCCTGGCTTCTTTTGGTGCCGGTATATGGCGGTGTAAAGATATGTGGCAAACGTAGACAAAACTGAGCTGATAGGTGTAACTTGTCGTACAAAATATTTAGTTTAGGGAAATATTATATAGGTAGTTTGGACTCTCATCATAACATCACGTATTTTATCCCCGAAGGGGTAGGCAGAGGTGCACATCACTTAATGCCACAACACCCACTTTTCACTATTTGTGTTTTTGAGTCCCATGTAATGGGGGGTGAGCCTATTGCCATATACCGGGCACAATTCCAAACTTCGTGCTACCACTGAGAATTTTTTAAAACCCAGTAAACTCATTATACAATATAGTAGGTACTATAGGAAGATACAAAGGTACCCACGTCAATGAGCTGTATGAACAATAGAGGTAGATATGCAAGTTAGACAGTTTACGGTCTGCTAAAGAGAAGTTTAAAGTTTTGATCTATTGAACTACATTTTGACGTTTACGTTAACTCAGACACGGGACCTTGATACTAACTTGTGAATAAGTCTTATTATACTTAGAATGTTAATACAATTTAGGTAGACTAATTTTTGTCTGGGAACTTATTTGGAGTAACAAAGTTGAATAATTTAATTAATTAGTATCTGCTTTGATTTTGGTAGTTCTGTACTAAATATATTCTTTGGTAGGTATACCTAGATACATTATTAACAGTCGAAATAATGATACATAATAGTCTAATTCTGGACTACAAGCCTCCTCTAAAAATTACCTAATTTCTAGGGATGATTAATGTGTTGGAATTTGAAATGTATCACACTAATAATAAAGTAAATTTTTACTAATTACCACTAATATTTACGACGTCTACCAGATAGTCCTCCGGCCTAAAAAATAAGACGCAGATTATATAAATAGAACTTACCTATTTGTTTAAAACAAATATTAAGTGTGTATGTACATTATGTATATTTATTGACACGGGACAATGTACTTAGAACGAGGAATATCAAGAAGTCACACAGTTTAATGAAACATTTCAACTCGAGTCACGTAAGAACATTAAACATTACATTTATGTATGTAACACTAACTTCTGACTGCGTCTTCACTTTTTTTATGGCATAAGCCGATAAACGAGCAGACGGATCATCTGATGGTAAGCAATCGGCGCTGCCCATGGACACCTGAAACACCAAGGCGTTACAAGTGCGTTATCGGCCTTTTGGGGATTAGGCTCAAATTCCTAATCCCCAAAAGGCCGATTTTAGAGGATTCAGGAATTAGGGAGACTGGGGTCTTCGGTTGGGGGCTTGGGGAGATTCAGTTGTTGCGGTGGCTAGTAACCGGCTGCTTCGCAATAGCTGTTCGATTCCCGCGCGTACCAACTATGTGTGTGATCCACAAACTGTTGTTTCGGGTTTCGACGTCATTTGTATGTGAAATTATATGATTGTAAACGCACCCACGACACAGGAAAAAGTCCTAGTGTGGAGCAAAAAGTACGAAAAAAAAATTGGGATAAACTTGTAGTCATGTACATAGTAAAGCTATGTTTTAATTCGATCCCGCTGTTTTGGAACTTTACTCCATGCAAAAAACAAGCATGTCATTCATATTTATTATGTTAGTACCAATAGCAATATTTATGTCATGTATGTGTGTGTAATTTCTGTTTGTTTTACACACTTTTTGTCATGGCCGACTAGATAATGATGTTGAGTATTTACCTTGTCTCTTTATGATGTTCATAGAGTTAATGTTTTGTTTTTAAACTACGTGTCTGATACAGCGTCTAGGCGGTTTGTGTTACGACTTTCGAATTACCAACTATTCTAAATATTACCAAAATACATAACATCACGCCTTTTATCCCCGAAGGGGTAGGCAGAGGTGCACATTATACAACTGTACAATGTAACACCCACTTTTCACTATTTATGTTATGAGTCCCATGTAATAGGGGGTGAGCCTATTGCCATATACCGGGCACAATTCCAGACTCCGTGCTTCTACTGAGAATATTTAAAAACCGGGAATCGAACCCGAGACCCCTTGCCCGGCAGTCGCACTTATGACCACTCGGCCAACGAGGCAGTCATATATAATATTTAGCAATATTACCAAAATACACCTGATTATATTCTTAAGTACGTTGAGCTAGGGTATATAATAGGCTATCTAAAATGCTTAATAGAAAAATATTTGGAAAAAGGTGAACTCAATAATTACCATTAAAATCGGTTACTCAAAGATTGTACTATTATGTTTACTAAAAAGGGGGATTCCTTTTAAAGTTTTATATCTGATTTACAATACATACAAAGTACAGCAATAACGTTTACATTTTAAACTTAAATCTTAGATATCTTACAAGATTTTGGTAAAACAAAGGATTGTGTTGGACTTTTGCCAATTAAAGCAAATAATTCTTCTCGTTGCCGTCCGCAAATACCACCAAGAGATTCAAGATTTGGTTGCTTTTAATTTATATTCAATTTAGAAAAAGTTATATTCATTTTTTTCAGGCGTTACTAAAGTAACCATGTTTCTTAAAAGTAAAAATACGCAACATGTCCTTATTAATATTGTTAATAACATCACGCCTTTTTTCCCCATGTCACTGTCCAGTACAGTACACATAACACCCCCTTTTCATTATTTATGTTATAAGTCCCATGTAATAGTGAGTGAGCCTATTGGCATATACCGCACACAATTCCAGACTCCGTGCTACCATTGAGATTTTTTAAACAACCCAGTAGTCCTTTGCCCGACCCGAGAATCAAAGTCAAAGCATTTATTTCAATAAACCATAATTTGGTACTTTTGAAATGTCAACAAATACAAAATAAATAATAGTCTGTCAGTCAGTCCGTCAGTGAAGCTAGGTGAAGCTAGGTGCTCATTCCAAAATGTAGATTCGAATGGAGAAATGGGCAAGAAACTCCATTCGTTACTCTTTTTAAAAAAAGTATGTTCTACAATGTCTCTGATACATATTCCAATACTTTAGGTATATGTGAGAACAATGCAAAGACACGCTTAAATCGAACTCGATATCCCTTTGGCCGGCAGTCGCACTGGCGACTACTCGGTCGCCGAGGTTGATTATTGTGAAAACCTTTCTTCACAGTGAAGCATTGTTATGGTGCCATTTTTGTATTGACAAAAAAGAATCAGGAGTGTTATATAAGTAGGCTAGTTTTTACCTATGATCACATAGATGAAGCCCAAAGTTTGTTTTATATTGTTTAAAAAATTATACGCTATTTAACTTAGACTATCTTATATAGTAGTCGCGGAAAAGGTTAAAGGTTACCGGGGCTCCGACTCAAAGTGCAGGAGTAGGAACGGAGTGGTTTTTAGTCAGTAAGAGTCTGACACACCCTCGTCACCCAGGCGAGAGAAGTCATTTGATGATTTTCCCATCTTAAAAAAATTGTATATAGTAAAACCACAGGACATAGACTGGTCAGATAAAACAATGAAAAACGGCGACTTCTTTTTATATCAAGGAGGTTTCTAAGATAAGTCTGTACTACTGTTTACATGTTTGGCTTCCCGCCAAAATGTATTGTCACCATTTAAACTCTGGTTTACAATATAGCACTAGACCAAGGATATAATAACATACTGTTTACACAAAAATGTTGCGGAGAGAATGCATAAACTTAGTCCTTGTTGTATTTTTAGCTTAGGTTGGATTGGATTAGATTCAATATTTGTGTGGAACAGAAGCATGTAAATAGTGACTTTATTCCGTTTTTATTCAATTTTGGTATCTATTTCTTGCAAGTTATGTTATGATTTACAAAATCATAGGGAGCCTATAGTGATACATATTTGAATGGAATCATTTTTTTTTGTTTTTGTCCTAGCGGGACTCTTTCTCATGAGCAGCGTGCGCGGTCAAGGCGATGTCGCGCAGCTGTAGTCGTAGTCAGTAGGCTCCTCCCATTTTTTTTTATACCACGACGGTGGCAAAAAAGCACACGGCCCACCTGATGGTAAGCGGTTACCGTGGCCTATGTACGCCTGCAACACTTGGGGCATTACATGCGTCTTGTCGACCCTTAAAAAACCTATTCACTGCCCTCTTGAAGAACCTCATGTTGTAGCCCACTGGGAAAACCATGGCAGGGAGCTCATTCCACAATCGGAGGGTCCGTGGTCCCTACTGTCCCTTTTCCTACTCCCTAGTCCCTCTGCGACTTAAAAGTAGTATAGATTTTCTCAGTATATTTACGTTTGTAACTCGGAATTTTTAGTTAATAAATTTCTTTGTTATCTCGTTCATCACTTGTATAAATTGTAACGCGTGAGTTCAATTTGTTTCTTATTTGTATCTGGACGTTTTAGTTGCGTCGATTTACCAAGTAGGTAACACATGTGTCCCTAACTTATTGAAGCTGACTGTACATAATCATTTTGATGTGATTCTTATAAGTAATACGATTATTTTATAACGATAAGCCTTGACCATAAACTTGTCTATCATATTTGTTTATTTAATAGTTAAGTACTTTTTTTGTAGTACATAACTATGTAGGTACTTTTTGTAGTAAAAAGTCTCATTATACATAGGTACAAACAATTTTTTTACAAGTCGATGCCAATCAACACCAGATTTTTTGCAAACACTTATTTAAGAATTGTTTTTTGTTTTATATTACACTTATTTAATAGCCTTTTGATTAATTTATTTTACAGTTATTAATATAGTTTTCAGTGTCCACTTATTTTAATTAAAATAGGTATATCTAATTAAAATAAAATGATACGATCTTAAAACCTTCAAAAAAGAGCGCACTCATTTTTAAAAGGCCGACAACGCACCTGTGACTCCTCTGGTGTAGCGGGTGTCCATGTGCGGCGCTGATCGCTTACCATCAGGTGATCCGTCTGCTCGTTTGCTTTCTATTCCATAAAAAAGATACCACACTAAGATCTTATGATTTTATTTTATTGTAATTTTTTAGTTGCGTTTCATGCACAGAGTGTGCAATAGGTGGACTTAATGCCGCAGGCTTTTTCTTCCAGTCTGTCCTGAGTCTGTAATTGTTAAATTATTTTACTAACTTTGAAAGAGATTCATCTTGCATAGTATGAATTTAATTCCTTATATTATATTATGATTCAATGCATATCTTTACATGGTGATTACATCATTAGGTTGATGTAATCACCATGTTCCTGTTATGATAGTAGTATGTACATAGTTTATAAATAAATAAATAAAAATAAAAAATAAATCTTTTAAAATAATCAGTTCACATAAATAAACATCGATTAGAATATTTCGCATTTTTTTTTTAATAGAGGAAAGTCATCAGTTAATAATTTCTCCCGCCTTGGGCGAGTTGAGAGAGGGTTTGATTATAAACCACTCCGTTTCTACTCTTGCTTCGAGGTGGAGCCTTGGTAACCTGCTAGGCCGTCCGCAGAACATACATACATACATATAACTTTACGCCGGTCTCCCATGGGGATAGGCAGAATATGGAACGCCAATTGCTACGATTCTTACATACTTCTTTCGCTTCATCAACAGTCATCAATCTTTACACGCATGTTCGTTAAGGGTACTTTTCATATGGTCCTTCTTTAATATATCGCCAATCTGGTCAGTATACGCCCGTCTAGGGCGCCCTCTACCGACAGTGCCATTCATATCCGCTCTGTATATCCGCAGAATCACTAACCATACTATGTTGACCAGTTATAATTAAACTAATTCCATTTAAATACATAGCGTGTTACAATGACAACAAAGTAATTGCATTACTTGTCAGTTAAAATGACTAGCAAGTCCATGTACACACTCTACAAAATAACCAGTATAAAGTGACCGTTGATTATGTTGAATAATCTAATAAAGTGAGAGCATGATACACTGGTTATTTATAGGTAGATGTATAGGTAGATGTGTAGCCAGTTGTCCTAGCTAATTATTGTGATCAGCTACTCAATGTCCTAAGTTTACATGAATACCTAGTACTTAGGTAATTAGGTCTATTAAGGCATGTTGCAACTAAATGACGTTACGCCAATTATGATATTGTAATTGTAACTGGTATAATTAGCGGTTTTTCTTAATGCTAATAGGATTGAGAAACAAAGGAACTAGTTGTATGATGATATTATTATTAGTTGAGAATTGTTCCTGTTGTTATTGTTTTGTTGATGGATTTAAAAATCGAATTGTAGGTATACATATAATCTATAAAGATAATTTAAATTGGAGTCTTTTTTGAGAAAGTACAAAACGAGACGGAGCGATTTTTTTAATATTACTGTCTGTTTGTAATTTTAAAAAATTCGCTTTTTACTACCATGCATAATTATGAATATATGTAGGTACATACAATACACATACCAAATTAACATTCTTTACAATCTTTGTCTATCTGTCTTTACTGGCTAATTTCTGAAATGGCTTGACCGATTCTGACGCGACTTTTATCGACTTTTATTAGCAGTTAGCTAATGTACTAAGGAGTAATATAGGCTACTTATAATATGGAAAATAGAAACGGAGTTATGTCTTAAAATTCATAATCCAAGCCGAAGAAGTCGCGGGCAATAGCTACTAAATAATATAAAATTAAACCCCTACTAAAATAATGATTATTATGTACTCCTACGATATCTATTCTTTTAGTACGTAAATAAAATCGGGGCCAACTTTTAACTATTTGCATTACAATTTTTATTCTAAAAGTCATCGCTGACGATTCCCATTTCGTAGGAAATCTATTACAAGACACCCTAAGACAGAGGGTAAGGTCTCTTGTATTGATAGTATTATAATAGACAGTAGAAAACTTAGACAATCTTATCCCCGTTGAATAATAATCACCACAATTCCTTAAATTCATAACCTCCAAAGAGCCAGCAAGGCATTCGTAACTCCTCTGGTGTTGCTCCCATGGGTGGCACTGATTGCTTACCAACATGGTCTATAACTCGTTTGCCGCTTTATTCCATAATTATATATTTTTTCTAAATTCCAGTACCACCAATCCAGAAATGCCAGTTATCTGACCCAGAATGCCTGAAGAAGACTGCCCAGACTTTCGTAGAAACATTTACCAGTGGAATCCCAGAGGTGGGCAGTGAAGTTTTGGAGCCAGTCCACATTGACGTCATTAAGATCGACCTGTCGGGCCTGAAGCTCACTGTCAGAGATGCTGACGTTAAGGGACTCAAGAAATCCGTGATTGACAAACTTAAGTAAATTTTCGAAAAATCTATATCTGTTTATTTTACAGTAGAAAATTTAAAAGAAAGACATTTTTATTAGGTTTATAATATTATAACTTTCGTGAGACATACCAAATTAACCCTTTGAGTACCGTCATTATAGACAATTAAAGAACAATAGGTTGCAGTCACCGGTGTCCTCGCGGTGTTTGACAGTTTAATTTCAGTTTTATATTTTTCGTCTTACTCACGTAATTATTTGACAAGGAACTCAGTCATTAGTAACAGGGCGACAGACACCGCGCCGCGGGTTGCAGAATGCGACTCATGAATATAAGCCCCTAGCATGGCTTGAAACTAGTCGTATTCCTTGTCAAACAGTTACGTGAGTAAGCCAAAAAGGTATAATGAATTTAGTATGTCTCACGAAAGTTATAATATAAATATACTAAATTAATGATAATGTTTTCGGCTGATTTACCAATATGACCCTCTCTAGTATGGCTTGAAAGTAGTCGTTTCTTGTGTAACAATTACACGAGTAAGCCAAAAACCTAACAATTATTATTTATTCAATTTTCAACAGTAATTTCATGGCAATAGCAGCTACAACAACTGTGATGTACTGACAGTAATATTGTTTAAAATATTTTGATAGAATATAGAAGGCGCTACTGCAATAACCAACTTTTCGATTGCCCGCAACCAATGACCGTTTGTGAACAATTGTGAACACTATCAAGACATACATTTTTGTCTACTACCAGATAGCAACTAAAACTTACTACGCATAGTTCTATTAGTTAACTACATATTTTATTTTCTCCGTTCTAAATTTTATACTCTTATACTATTATATAAAGCGGAAGAGTTTGTTTTTTTGTTTGTTTGTTTGAACGCGCTAATCTCCGTAACTACAAGTCTGATTTGAATAATTCTTTATGTGTTCGATAGCGTATTTATCGAAGATGGCTATAGGCTGTAAAACATCACGCGACGACCAATAGGAGCTGAGCAGAGCGTGTGAAACCGCGCGGAAGTAGCTAGTCTGTGTATAAAATTACAAAAGGCTTTTAAAATATATCAATAGTAATTAATATTTTGATTTCAGAGTGGACACGGCAAAGAAAGTCATCGAGTTGACCTACCATGTAGCTCCTATTGTGTTGAAGGGCAAGTACAAGGCTGGCGGTATGTTGCTCATCCTACCCATCAGTGGAGACGGAGATGTTACTATCAAAATTAGTAAGTATTATAAGGTCTTCTACCCAAAAGACCAAAAACCATCAAAGAAAGTTAGCCAAGGCCAAGTTTATTCCAAAATTAATAATACAAATGTACTGTCTGAAAATGATACAATTAGGTCCGAAAGTTAGGTTGATAGCGACACTAGTAACAGTGTCAATAAAGACGACAAACAGACTCAGGAATGATAAAAAATAATACTTGTTCCAATTGACTAATAAATAAAGTAAATATAGGTATGGATATTGAATGCTTTATTTTCTACACCTTGGAATGAGCAAATAGCTTCATTTTAAATTCATTGTTGGCCTTCAAAGTGTCTCCTTGGTCTAATTGATATAAATGATTTTGACTTTGATTTTGATTTTATTAATAAAATCAAATTAAGTATATCAAAATACCTCGTATTATAAAACAGGAATTATAATTATGATAGCTGAACTTGCTAGATCAGATGAAACCTTTTCAGAAATATAAGTATCCACGACAATTTTTCTTCAACATTTTTTTCCTTTTTCAGAAAATCTCGCAATAACCTTGACTATGCCCTACGATATTGTCAAAAATGAGCAAGGCAAAGACGTCATCGAATTGAAGAGTTACAAATACACTTACGAGAACAATGAAAACACTCACTTTAAACTCACCAACCTGTTCAATGGAAACAAACAATTGAGTAAGTATTTCGTTTAGATAACTATCATCATAAGCACTTGTGGGTACTGAGTACAATATTTAATTTTTTTTGGAGTCGGTTTTTTAACACGTTAAACGCCATGGGGGTCGCCGGTGACCGGCGTTAGCGGAGGATTTACCTTCAACAGTTTTTTATTGGCAGTCAGTCTTAAACGTTTTGATTTTATTAATACTAATAGCTAATAGCTAGCTGGCTATAGTTGGGACAAACGTGCCAAAGTCATTTTTATCAGATCTCTTGCTCACACTTATGCGAATTGTACGGTATTGTCACATTCACATTCGTTTGCCGTGATAGTTCGCACGTTTATAAAGGCCCAACTACGTTTAAGTAAACCGACTTAAACCCCTCTTTCTTGTAGTCGCTTAATTATTGTAGGTACTGAAGCCTTCTCCTAAGTGTAACAAACACTTTTTCTGAAATCTGCATCAAAATCGGTTTAGCCAATGACGAGGTAATCGCATACGGGTCAAACTTCGAACTTTTTTCTTTTTAAAGTCTGTTAAAAATGTACAACAACTTCATTCAAACAATCGATTTCAAAAAAGGAAAATGTTCCATATTTGATTTTGAATGTATTTCCAACCAATGATGTTAAAACAAAGGCGGACGTCATGCCACTTGGAAATGATTAAAACACCATAATGTATTCGTAACACCGCAATGTATAAAGTATAATAACGAGCCATGTCATGCGACAGATTTCCTTTGTGTCAATGTGTGTGTATTCTGCGTGTAGTAGGGTGCCACAGTCGTTGTTCCAAGGGACTGTTCATCTTGTTCGCAATGTTTTAACGATATTTGTTTTTGGTTCCCAGGTGACGCCATGCTGACATTCATGAATGAAAACTGGAAGGCGATTTCCCAAGAATTTGGCAACCCTATGCTGGAGAAACCAGTACAAAAGATATACAATGCCATCAAGATTTACCTGAAATCACAGCCCTTAGAAGAAATAGCTATTGTTTAAGTTGTTACCAAAAATTAATTTATGCTTAGTTTTTACATACATGGTTTAGGAATTTGATACTTTACCTACCTATTGTTTTTAATAAAAACGAAGTTTTTTAATTTTTTTGTACCCTGTTTTACCCTGATCTGGTTCGTCCCTTTTCAATCCTCCGTAGAAAATAAAAGTATTTTTAAACACCAACACAAAATTTACTTGCATTATAAAAACAATAATTTCTATCAAGCTGTAAATATTCTAAGAGAAATTGTATGAACGTTACAGTTCCAGACTGCCTCATTGGCCGCCGAGTGGTTGCAAGTGCGACTGCCGGGCAAGGGGTCTCGGGCTCGATTTCGGTTCGGGCAAAGTATTATTGGTTTTTTTTTTTTCAAAAATAATCTCAGTGGTTTGTAGCACGGAGTCTGGAATTGTGCCCGGTATATGGCAATAGGCTCACCCCTATTACATGGGACTTATAACATAAATAGTGAAAAGTGGGTTTTACATGGTACAGTGGCATTAACTGCCGTAATTTTCACCTCTGCCTACCTCTTCGGGGATAAATGGCATGATGTTACATTTCAGTTCCAACTACCATGGAACGGCGCTGTGGCAATCAGCAATCAACAGGACTTGACCGCATTAGACCATTACCTACCGTCCTCAAGAGATAACTGACTGCTGATAAATTAAGTACATAATCCAATAAAGATACCTGACATATATAAAATATCTAGACACTATTACGGGTCTGTGTACAATATTATAAAAATAATTGCATCAAAAGCCTATTCGATTTTTAATAGCAATGTAGCCAAAATTGAGTTCTTTCCATATCATAATTGAATCAGGCGCTCATTATTATAACTAAAAAATGGAAACTTGGAAGAGCACATCAAAATCTAAATATTTGACATTTTAAAAACTTCCCGAAAACATTCAACTCAATTTTTTCGACCAAATGACTAAATTATGTCGATTATGTGTTCATTATCAACACCTTTTTTAATATTAAAATTTCTTTAAGTAAGTTATATCTATACTAATATTATAAAAAGGAAAGATTTGTACCTATTTTTCTATGTTTGTATGTTTGTAATGAATAGGCTCAAAAAGTACTGGGCCGATTTAAAAAAAATCTTTCACCAATAGAATGCTACATTTTTCCAATTTGACATAGGCTATATTTCATTTTGAAAAAAATTAGGGGTCCTTGGTAAAATTTGAACAATGTAACCGAAGGTGTAGAAAAATGAGTCTTAAAATGTCTTTCGTCGCGCTGCCGAAACTATTAGCGCTAGAACAAAATAATTTACAACAATATTGAAGAACATCATAATGTCTACAAAAAACTCCGCGGTGGCATATGTCCAAATATTGTAGTTATGTCACTACAACAATCCAAATTTCGAAAAATAAATTTTTGTCTACCCCGTGCAAAGCCGGGCGGGCTGCTAGTTTTGTATATAGTTGTATGTAGGTATATTTATGCGCGATTATCTCGCCATTGGCTAAAGCGATTTTGATGCGGTTTCCAGAAAAGTGATTGTTACACTCCGAAGAAAGTTTTATTACTAGCGACCCGCTCCACCTTTGCATGGGTGCAATATGCATGTAATATACATATAAACCTTCCCTAAGATTCACTCTATCTATTTAAAAATCTAGTAGTTTTAAAAACCTAGGCATACATACGGACAGACAGACGGCGGATAGCGACTTTGTTTTATACTATGTAGTAAATAAAAAAGAGGGTGTTGAAGTCGGTTTTTTAACGTAGTACCTATATGGGTATAATTAGGTCTTCTTAAATTATTGTAAAAATGCAAACTAAACTTAAGGATGAATAGATAAAGAATATTTTTGTTGATTCATCCCTGTTTCAATTTAACAGTCAGTTTATAGTTTCGACTTTGACTGCCGATAAAAAACTGTTGAAGGTAAATCCTCCGCTAACGCCGGTCACCGGTGACCCCCATGGCGTTTAACGTGTTAACAGTCAGTTTATAGTTTCTAGTCTGATAAATAAACAACATCTTTGTAACTTAATTGCTAGTCTGGCTACTAATACTTACTTAATAATATGGTTTAACTACTCAAACAGTTTGACCTATGTCCTACAATAATTGTAACAAAGTATAATATTATATAATTATAAGTAAGACTGCCTCGTTGGACAAGCGGTCGCAAGTGCGACTGCCTAGCATGGGGTCTCGGGTTCAATTCCCGGGTCGGGCAAAGTATTACTGGGTTTTTAAAAAATTCTCAGTAGTAGGACGGAGTCTGCAAATGTGCCCCGTATATGGCAATAGGCTCACCCCTATTACATGGGACTCATAACAAAAATAGTGAAAAGTGGGTGTTACATTGTACTGTCATAATGTAATGTACCACGGCCTCACAGAAAACCGACGTGAAACAACGTTGTGTTGTGTTTCGTCGTGTGAGTGAGGTTACCGGAGGCCCAATTCCCCCCCTCCCTTTCCCCTACAATCCTCAAATTCCTAATCCAGAAACGCACTTGTAACGCCTCTGGTGTTCCAGGTGTCCATGGGCGACGCCGATTGCTTACCATCAGGTGATCCACCTGCTCGTTTACCGGCTTATCCCATAATTCATTACATTTCATGTAAATATTAATCCATCAATATTTTCCTCACGGTTTTACTTTAAAGGTGCGATATGAACTTTCTAAGATTATCTAGACACCACTGACAAACGGTGAAGGAACACATCGTGAGGAGTTCTGGACTAAATGTTTGAAATTTTTAAACTACTGCTTGAATGTACCGATATGACACACAATAGAAAATACATTGTATCTCGCGTGAATCCACGTTTAGACACACGACGGGTTAAGCAAGCGTAGCGGTTAAAGCTCAAACCTCCGTGTGAGAAGTTTTTGGTCAGCAGTAGCTACGTATAGGCTGTCGATGATGATGATGATGATGATGATTTTTAACTATAATTAATAATGAATAATAACTTACTTATCATGTACAATTCGATATCTACGTAACTGGAATCAATTAACTCAATCGGGTCCTGTAACCACAGTCGTTCAACTTTCTTTTTATCGTTGTCATCCAATAAATTATCTCATTAAGAAGTAATTTGCTGCTTTCATTTTACGTGAATCGAAATATTGCAATGTGATCATGTTGTGATGGTATATATAACAACTACAAAGATTTCAACAGGGGGCTTACTCTTAAATCCAATTCCGATCGATCGACATTGGTATTGTGAAATTTCGTACTCTCGAGTTGCAACATTAGCGCCCATTGCATCCGTTTTGCGTGGATATTAAATGAACCAAATGGTATTGAGTTTGGCTTTAAATTCCGTACTCTGAATGCTATTTCAACAACTATGGTAGGGGTGGTAGGTATAGTTTTGACATTGAATCATTATTGAAATAATATTGGATTGAAATTGCATTGACATTGAGATTGGTTTCAAGAGTAAGCACCAGGAGCTGTTTCTTTTAGGTGTTGCAGTTTTAAGAGAGATACGTAGGTACTTTCGCCTCTTTCGTTATGAATCCCATAATAAAAATAGGTGTGTTTAATGGGCATGATTGCAAAATTTAAAAAAATAACCGATTATATAACCATTATTTTATAACTTCGTTTAAAAAAACCAACTTCAGCCCCTCTTTTTTGTTGACTAGTGTTAATTAATTTACTAAAACCTTCGCCTGTAATAAACACTTTAGTCAAAACCCCATCAAAATCGGTTCAACCAATTGCGATATAATCGCTCCCAGACACACATACACACACAAATACATACCTACACAAATACTGGCAAACTGACAACCTCCTTTTTGAACCGACTTCAAAAAAAGGAGAGGTTAGAAGTCGGTACCAAAGCCGCAACAAAATATAAAGTAGTTAATGGTCACAGCTGGTATAATCCATAATAAAATTGTAAACACCTCAATAATGTTAGGTATCTATTAAGGTTTTAATAAATAATTTTGTTTAAAACTTGTGGCACCGACTTCTAACCTATCAGTGGGTGTGTAAGCTATAAGTACGTATGACCACTAATAGTTATTTTTTTCCTTTTTAGTTTTTACTTTTCGTTTGTCATTAGTTTTGAAGTCGGTTAAAAATTCTTAAAACCGATCGGGAACCTAAAATCACTTGCTTGGAATCTGTGCGGCCAAGAAACCAATTTAACTGCCTCGTCTTATAATAAACAATAATAAAACAAGTTATTTTAACACGGTGCCGGAAATTTAAGAACTTTGTAACGTCCGTCAAGTTCATCTTAACTGCGACTTTAATTTAATTAAGTTGATCTAGTTCAATACAAGTATTTGTTTGTAGGAAGTAGTAGATATTTGTGTTATTAGTAAAAAAACATAAGTTTAACCTTACGAATTATGAATAGGTTACGTCTGTCTGTCGTACTGTCTTACTGGAGATGATTGTCATTATCGACTGTTGTTCATCAGCGCAGAGTCGTGAGATGCTGTGGTACAAACTTCATTCTAAACAGGCATTGTATTGTAACCTACCTAGAATAGTTAATTAATAAGCTTAGATAAGTGTATGTGAAAAAATGGAAATAAATTTTGTTTGTTGTTGTAGTAGTATGTTTCTGCGAGGATATCATATCGCGGAAGGAGGCTGCGGAAAGAAGACTATTCATGTGTCCATCTAATTGTCTTTGAGATGGTGTACGGGGCAGATTGAAGTCTCATTATATTGTGCACCACAATGAAGGACCTATATTTGCGAACTAACACAAATTAACTGCAATTCTATTTCTTTACCATCTTTACATACAACTTAGGGATAGTTAACAGAAACTACAAACGCAACCAATCAATAACTATTAAATGAAAGATTTATTTTCAAATTTTTCTCACCTATTGTGAAACTTATATGCAAAGTACTTGTTTTTTCATTTCATTTACGTAAAAACGATGATTCAACAATAGAAAAATATAATAATACTTTTGACGGCTCTGAGTAATGGCTACTAAACATGAACCTTGGTTAAATGTAACCTTTATCATTTTTCGTTGAAATGAAATTTGATGAAGGATTCCTATGGACCCCTGGTTTAACTCCCCTAGCTACTACACAGGACTTTAAGTCAAATATTAATGAAGTTATTTCGATCTGTCGATGAGTATGCATAAGGCTATTAATCTGTCAAACACCAAGCGGTCACCGGTGACCGCGACCTATTGTTCTTTAATTGTGTCTATAAAACCGGTACTCGACGAGTTAAAGAAAGAATACCGGTTCCAATTCCCGGATCGTACATGTTTATCAAGGAGGTACCGTAACTGAAGGTTTTAATTGCGAAGTTCCTCCATATACAATAACTCAAGTGTCGGGCAAGGGGTCAAGGGTTCGATTCCCGGATCGGGGAAGATATTACTAGTTTTAAAAAAAACCCAGTAGTAGCACAGAGTCTGGATTTATGCCCTTTAAGTATATGGCAATAGGCTCACCCACTATTACATGGGACTTAAAACATACATAGTGAAAAGTGGGTGTTATATTGTACAGTGGCATTACGTGCCGTAATGTGCACTTCCGCCTACCCTTCAGGAATAAAAGGCTAGAAGATATGATTATTTATTTATTTAGTATAATGTTTTAATAACTCAGATTTGCACTATGCGTTTGCCAAAGGTTGATAACACTGTAGAGCTTCTCCCGGCGGATTCGTTAAACACTATTAGGATAAAATATGTATATAGCACATGACTTACTTGACTTAATATCCTGTGTCCCCTAGAGTGGGCAGAGGGCGTCCACTGAAGTTCTCCATCGCGATCTGTCTTGAGCTTCACGCTTCACCTCACTCCACGTCATACCGATGCTCGTCGCTTCTGCCAGTACGGTACGACGCCTGGTTTGCCGAGGACGGCCACGCTTTCTTTTCCCTGGGGATTCCAATCCAAGGCTTGCTTGGGTATGTGATCAGGGCATAGCACATACTGTAGACTATTTCGCCCCATGATAAATCTGTACTACAGTCTTGCACCAAAAGTCTTCTTTACAGGTAACAATGCCAATTGACCAGTACATACCCTTACTTTAATACTTGAGACTAAATAAAAAATTCTAGGTACTTATGAAAACATAAGTAAATCCATTTCTTCTCCAATGTTTCTTTCATTCAACCTTTACATAATGATGGTCATAAATAATAGGCTTTTTTATAATTGCAATAGTATTTAATTTATGTTCATATATAATTATGTCCGCGGTTGACGGTTTGGTATATTAACGATTTTCTTCAAGTTCACGACCAGTTCTTAGTCGACTGTAGGGACGTTTGTACCAAAAGTTACTATGTTGTTTAAAATAATTTGTTTAACTGTGTTGGTGTTCGCTGGTGTTCAATCAGCTGGTGAGTTGACTGATTTTTATTTAATCAAAAGTTCTTTGAGTTACATTTTATTGATGACACGTTTGTGATTCCAAATGAAAAATAGGTAGGAAGTCTAATTGCCGCTTTTCCTTTTCTATGGGTCCAATATTTGTTGCCAATGCAGTTGTTTTTTGGGTTTGCATGTCTTAAAAATGACGAGAAGTTATGTCCTTATTAACTTGATAACCATTAACTATTTACTTTGAATATTTCAGTACTTAGTATTGATTCTGATAGGTACGTTTTTGGTTATTGTAAAAAATTTTGTTGTCCATAATTTTATTAGTCTCATCGTTATATTGCTGTGCAAAAATCAAAACATTTAATTTATATAAATAGATATGTATACCCATCTGAAGCATTGCATATATTATCTGTCAACTGTATATACCTAATGTGAATTATAACGAAAGTTTTAGTATACTACTACCTCGTTGGCCGAGTGGTCGCAAGTGTGACTGCCGGGCAAGGGGTCTCGGGTTCGATTCCCGGGTCGGGCAAAGTACTACTGGGTTTTTAAAATTCTCAATAGTAGCACGGAGTCTGGAAATGTGCCCGGTATATGGCAATAGGCTCACCCCCTATTACATGGGACTCATGACATAAACAGTGAAAAGTGGGTGTTACATTGTACAGTGGCATTAAGTGCCGTAATGTACACCTCTGCCTACCCCTTCGGGGATAAAAGGCGTGAAGTTATGAAGAAGTTATGTTTTAGTATACATAAACTTTAAAAAGAAGTTAAATTCAGTTTAAATCGTTTAGCCCTTGAGGATAACGGTATAGTCAACGTTGTATATGACCGAGTTTAAAAAAATATTTCTGCAAAATTTTGCGTTTCCCCTCCACTCACTTAAATGGCTATTAAGTCTTTTAAAACTGATTAGCATACCGTTTAAAGTCCCATTTATCTTAATAATTATTTTTAATTTTATTAAACCTACGAAATATCCTGAGGCGAATGATGGCTGTATACCTATGTATTAAACATTTCGCTTTAAATAATACAACTTAAAGGATCACTGATTTTAAAATTATGTTTTGAACAACAAATTATAGGTATATGGCATTATTTTTAGTTGCATACCATCATAGGTACACACGGCTACACATCGAGCTTTAAGTAACCAGTATAAACTGAACGTTAAATGTGCGGAAAGATGATGCGACGCGACACTAGGATAAACTGGTTTTGTATAGATTGATGTGTGGCCGTGTGTATACGTACCTCAAATCACAGAAAATACCTACCTTATTCGAAATATCTTTTTGTTTTGAATCAAAAGTATCCTTGTGTATATCATAATAAATATCCGTAGACCATATCCCGATTGTGTAATCGGGTAAAAATAGTGTTATTTTTCAATCGGAGAAGGATAGATCATTCATCATAATGATGCCGTACCCCACACAATCCAATTGTATAAATTCTGGGAGGATTTATGAGTCAGTCATAATGACTCAATCCACTGATTACTATTTTGTCAGTCCAATACTAGAAGGATCAAAAAGGTAGCATTCTTAATACTAGCGGAACCGTAATTTGGAATTACGTTGTGCACTCAAAACCAGTCAAACAATAAACCGCTCATTAAAATATTATTTTGTGGTTGACAAACTGAAAAGACGTGTCAATGTCATTGCACTATCAGTGCATTAACGAGGAATGCGAAAATCTGATTTTGATTGACAAACTGCAACTTGAAACCTAGCCATTGATCAATTAAAGACTCATTTTCAATGATTAGGTACTCATCATTAATGGGGATTGAGTCATCAGCGAGTCTAGTAGTGTAGTCATCATTAGAGAAATTCTGTACCTATCATCAAAAACAATCCTTGTCACTGCTGAATTAAAAGGCTCTTCTATATAAGAGGGGTATGCTATAGCTTTATCACTGCGAGGACCGCCCTGAGGATACGGTGGAACACATGGTAGGGGCATGCCCTGCGTGGGCTGAGAACCGCCGTGCATGTGATCGGCGAAGGCGACCTCTAGCGTGCATCTATAGTCCGGGTCATGATGCGGAGCGAGGACTGGGGTGCCGTCTCCTACTTTTGGGAAGCTGTCATACTAGCTAAGGAGGAGGCGAGGCGCGTGAGATAGCCAAGCGCTGCCAACCCAGCCGTCGCGAAAGACACTCCGGGCGTCGGGGATCGTGAGACGATCTGCGGCCACCGTAAGCACGGGCCTGCGGACGGCGAGAATGGGTAACTCACCGCCCGACAAGAATCAGACCCGAGCGTATGGCGAATCACGTTCTGCGCATGTCTCAAAGAGCCACCAGACCACAACAGATGGGGCCCAATAGGGCTGATGCCGATACGGAGCCGCGGAGGCTTAACGGGTTACCGCGGCTCCGGTAACCCGGGCAGGAGTAGAAACGGGGTGGTGGTTAGTCAGTAAGAGTCTCTAAGATCCTCCCGTGCCCTCTATAGCTTTAACGATTAGTAGGCTTGTTGGTGATTGCAGTTTGAAAGGTTTATCTAAGAGCACTGTTGCTATCTCTGTTAATAGGGTAGTAGATAGTATATGAAAATTAAAAACGTAATTAGAAAAAATAAAGTAACAATAGGTTTAAATCTTTAATTCAAAGAAATTAGTAGTTGTTTTGTATTTTACGTAATAACAAAAAAAAATATCTACGCCTTAACATACAAGATATCTCTTAAAAACATTAGAGAGTATTTGAGTACTTTTTACATTTCTTAGTACCTATTTACATTACATACATATTTTTCATACATTATGTAGGTAAATAGTGATTTCATGCAAAGTATTAGCAGGAAAAAAGTTACTTGACATTGTAGCAATGACAATTTTATTATAATCTTTACAAATTGCAAATGATTGCTTGAAATTTATAGTACTTTTTATGGATCTACAAGGTTACTAAGCAAACAGATACCAATAACTTCTCAAGTTCATTTTAAGTCATCCTTGGAAAATAAATAAGGTATTTTCCGAATTATTTACCATTCGAAGTTCATTTGCACTTTTTGATCTGATCTATTTTTGATTAGATGAAGTAGGTGGTATACCTAATTCACCATGCAGTCTGCCTAGTCCTAACGAATAAAAAACCATGGAATCATGTTATGGAGGTCATCAGCATCAACAGCCTATAAATGCCCACTGCTGAGCAAAGTCTCTTCTCACACGGAGAAGGTTTGAGCATTAATCACCACGCTTGCTCAATGCGGGTTGGCGATTTCAAATTTATAATCAGAAATTATAAGTTCAGGTTTCCTCACGATGTTTTTCCTTCACCGTTTGTCAGTGGTGTCTAAATAATCTTAGAAAGTACATATAACTCGGAAAAAGTTACAGTGGTACTTGCCGTTGGTAGGTTTCAAACCCGCACGCTCATGCATGAGAAGCGGGCGTCTTAAACCTCCGGGCCACCACGACATTTTGTTATGGAGGTACTTACTTCATTTTAACTTACTTCTCATTATCTTTCACAGAACTGCCAGTCGCAAAATGCAATCTAGAAGATTCCGCCTGTCTAAGGACGTCGTTCCAGAAAATGATGCCCATATTCATGACCGGTGTACCTGATGCTAACGTTGAAGTGCTGGATCCTATGGAAATGGATGACCTCGCCTTCGATTTGGCTGGTCTACAGTTTACCATGACCGGAGGCTTAATGAGAGGATTGAAGAACTCGATCGTTGATGGTGTCCAGTAAGTAGCTGGTTTAAAGCGCGTGTTTTATTGTAGGCTTAAAGAGGGGAAAGCTAAATTAAAAACATGTACTTAATTAGCTGGATTTAAAACAGATGAAGCAATCTATCCAAACAATGTGATTCTAAGACATTGAAATCTTTTTCCTTTCTTTATAAGGAGTATTGAATAATTCTTTTATAATATCGTAAACACTACGACCAATGCAATATACTTTGTTCCTCTACTTATCTTTCCAAAGAACAACGAATTTAAACGTTATGCTAGTCAAAATATGGTTCATAATTTTGTATAACCTTTCTTCTCAGATGGGACACGAAGAAAAAGACTTTTACGGTTGACTTCCATATGGACAACTCTGTGAAGGGTCACTACACTGCTAATGGACGTATCTTGATTCTGCCTATCACTGGTGACGGTCAGATTAAGATTAGACTGAGTAAGTATTTCTATAAATATCAAAAATGAATCTTGAGTTCATGAGTTTAAGACTTAAATTGATCTGTCTTCAACACCGTTATTTCCTTAAACTTTTACTTACTTAATACTACTAATGAGTGAAAATTGTACTATTATCTTGTTCAAATGTGCACTTGCTACGTCATATGATGTAGACAATAGCGTGTTCAAAAATGATCCAAGAGTAGGATTACAGCTGTTATAGAACCCAAGGTGTAAGACGAGAAACATAATACATTTTCTCCAATTAAATCTTTACTATACACCGTGATATCTATTTATAGTATAGAGGTAGAAGTTTAGGTATATAATTTCTTTTCATTACTTTAAAATTGATAATTTTATTAAATTTTCAGAGCGTCTCCAACTGAAAATTAAGATAGCATACGATGTAGTAAAGGGACCCAACGGCAAGGACATCATCAAACCTAAGAAGTACAGCTTTGACTTCGATGTCCAAGAGAGTGCTCATTACCAACTGACCAATTTGTTTAACGGAAACAAGGAGCTCAGTAAGTATAATTTATATCCTCTTTTATTATTCTATAGGATTTTTTACTTACCCATAGACTAAGGGCCTGTTTCACAATATCTCCAATATCTGGATAGCCGTTATCTACCAGATAAAGAATTAAAAACGTAATTTGTATGAACTATCTGTCACATAAGTTTATCAAGTAATTATATAGAGGTGGTGAAACCGGCGCTTAGGGTTACATCACAATCAATCCTCAATATATATAAAATATATTTTTAATTCTCAACTTTGTCTAATAGCGTCCGATACTAATTAGGAACCAGACCAACAAAACTACGAATCTCATCTCCGAAATTCAATCTTAATTTTAGAGACGCACGATCGTTTCTTCAACTATCTAAGTTTACTTTTTAAAATTGAATTTCTCTCTAAAATCAACAATCTATTCCGTTGAATGTTTACAATAGATGCGGCATTAATCTTTGTCCTGCATAATAGATGGCGCTACATATTGGTTTTCGCTGCTCTGATATTCGATTTAAATGTATGCATAAGCAAGCATGCCATTTTTTCTTGCGGCTTTCCATTATAGCGTGATGAACGAGATTAAACTTAAAAGTAAATTTTAAAAGCGTGTCTTTTGGTCTGAAAATAAATTCTATTGTACCCAATTTTAAATTTTTAAAGTATTCTTCTTCATTGAAACTTTTTGTAGCTTTATAGGAGACTGAAAATGTTCGTGTTTTAAAGGTTGAATAGTCCGGCCCAATTTGTTGACTTATTTATTCATTCACATCAGATTTTAAATAGTTATCATATGTCTCTCTTAAATAGTAACATATGCGAAGTATCAAACGCAATACGAAACAACAATATCCTAGTCAAGGTGCAAGCGGTCACCGGTGACCGCTCTCCACTCGCTGCATTATAAACCTTATTTCAGATGTGTAGAGACTACTTTAGTATGAACCAATTTTAGGGATTTTCGGTACGATATCTCAAGTGATTAATATTAAATCATGTGTTTGCCTTTAGGTGAAACTATGTTGACCTTCTTGAACGAAAACTGGAAGCAAATCGCTGCGGAGTTCGGCAGACCCATGATTGATTTAGCCTCAAAGAGAATATTCAAGAATGTTGTCAACTTCTTTGAAGCTAACCCGATAGAAGAGATCACCAGTGCCTGAATCAAAGTATTTCCAGTGAAATAAATTGTAATAATTTATGACGTTTGTTGTTTGTTAGAAAATATATGTAGTTATCGGTTATCACGTGGTTGTTTACTTCCTTACAACTAGGCTTGTAAGTATTCTTTAAAAAAATAATTTATTTGTTTGTGTATTTACTAGTTTATGTAGATAAACAACAAAGACAATACACAGGAAAAAATACAACAAAACAAAGGTACTGCATATCCCTTATGGGATTTCTTCCTGCAGCCCTACGAGAGGATAAATAAATACAACATAATGTGACACAGTTTATAATAACAAAAAAAATTACGGTCATTAGTTGTAAACAAACTGCGTAATGTCTCTACAAAATTATATTTGGTTCAATAGTTTTCATTTTTATGTGTTGAGTGTAGTTAAAAAAAATAAAAAAACATAATAATTTTGTTAAGTGGTGTTTATTATTTTTTGCATTTGGTTAGTTCATTGACATTGCCGTACCTACATATTATATACAGTTCGGTACGCAGTAAAAAGCAATTATCTCAAATAGCAATTACAATTAGAAATTATTATGTTTTCGGCTTACTCACGTAATAATTTGACGAGGAACTCGACTAGTTTCAAGCCATGCTAGAGGCTTATATTCATGAGCAGCATTTCGCGACCCGCGACGCGGCGACTGTCGCGCTACTACTAGCATGGCTTTAAACTAGTCGAGTTCCTCGTCAAATTATTACGTGAGTAAGCCGAAAACATAATAATTTATACAATTAGAAAGTTACAAAGTCAATCCATAGAAAAAATAATTCCCGTAATCAATAAAACCGTCAAACATCCCCGATTACACTGTCATGTCTAAATACAAGCACCATCGACATTGAAGGGTTGACGCGTCGCTTACCACGAGTGTTGGTGGTGTTTTAATTATTTTTATATCCTACGGCGTAGCTATCAGGGATGAAAAACTCGTTAACTTTGTCCAACGTTTCAATTGATTTTAAAGCCTATTAAGTTACGTGTATAATACCTTTCCATATTTGATGTGTATTTTTGGAAGCCTCTCGACTATGTTATTACCTTTTTAACTGAAAATAATGGTGAAATGGATTTAATATTATAATTGTAATGTTATCGTCTTTTTACTGCCTCGTTGACCTAGTGGTCGCAGGGTTTTTTTTAAGGGGGGAAAATCATCGAATGACTGCTCCCACCTGGGTGAGGCGGGAGGGAGTGTCAGACTCTTACTGACTAAAAACCACCCCGTTCCTTCTCCTGCACGTCGAGGCGGAGCCCCGGTTACCCGTTAGGTTCTCCGCGACAGGGTAAGGGATCTCGGGTTCGATTCCCGGGCCGGGCAATGCATTTATGACATTTTTTTAAAAAAAACTCAGTAGTAGCACGGACGGAGGCTGGAATTATGCCTGGTATATGGCAATAGGCTCACCCCCTATTACATTGTACAGTGGCATTAAGTAAGTAAGTACTGTAATGTGCACCTCTGGGTAGGCAGGCTACGGGGGCTACTAAAGGCGTGATGTTATGTTATGTTGTGGTTTTACAATAGACGGCTCATAGTGCTTCATTTAAAGTAAAGACTTAAATTAAGTTTTTAAAATGAAGTTTAAAAGTCAATCGTGTAAGCACGATACTAAAATCTTTAATTTTTAATTTAAGTGTTAAGCTTTGAACATAAATTCTTAGTTTACCATGGAGTCTGAATTGAGTTTGATACTTTCCTTACACATATTCCAAAACAAAAATACATCTGCATCAAGTAATACTTGTAATATAAAAATCATATAGGTAAAGCACATGCCAAAAAAGCAAACAAACATAGCTTTATTTTTTTAAATCTGTGTCGAAATTTTCGGGACTTTTTTGTCCCGTCATTGTCCTGTTTCAATGACCATGTCGAAACGTATAAAGTAAACGGTTCGGAATCGGTTGCCTCGTTAAATTCGTTGATCATAACAGGGTTAAAAGTACAAAATTCACGTGAGTAATCATTGAAGGTACTGTGTCACCTGTTCCCCGGTGTATGTGTTAAGGCCTATTGGCACTTTATCGAATTTCAGTGATGAAATTTACGTCACGATGAAGGGACTTGTGTGTCAAGGTGTGTTTGTTGATGTTGTGTGTTTTATAGACATGTATTGTAAATTAGACTCTATGAGATGCGTCAGGTACCTAAAATAATTGTTTTTAGTTCTGAATTACACAATTACATTATCCCATTTAAAAAGTTACTTAAAAAGTATGAAATGTTTTTAATGAAATAATGATAGATGTATTTTCTGTGGAGTTTTGAGATATCGGAGATATTCTGTGTCTAGCAATGGATACAGAAATACATTATTTCTTACCTTAATACTAGACACTGAAACTACAACGAATGTACAATATTAATGAAACATATCTAGTGATTGTATAATATAATTATAACATGTCTTATTCCTTCCAGGAATTTGTCCTAATATTCAATTTTGATTTAAAAAACAAGTAATTTAATTCAGCAAAAACAGTATACGGATTGCCCTTAACAGTCCTGTGGATGTTTATATCATTTTTTCCAGCCAGACGCCCATTGATAGGACTGCAGTATTAATATTTTATTTTGACGCAGTTGGTATACACGGACGGACATCGCCTTACAGTGTCCCCGTTAATTTTTTATCGTGTGTACCCTACTGAGTTTTTGGCAATCGCTTGTCGGTCCTAAATTATATGGAGGGGTTCGTAAGATTGTTTTGTAAGTAATTTTTTGTTCGGCTTATAATTTAAGTGTAATATTTTGTTGAACTAACTTTGTGACATTTGTTACGTAGTTTATGAATAAGTAAAATAACCATAAGAGTAAGTAAGAGTAAGTGTGGGAGAGCCATGCTTCGGTACAAAGGGCCGGCTCGACCGGAGTGATACCACGGCCTCACAGAAAACCGACGTGGAGAAACGCTTGCGTTGTGTTTCGTCGTGTGAGTGAGGTTACCGGAGGCCCAATTACCCTCCCCTTCCCCAATCTGCCCAATCCCTGAATCCCCAACGATCCTCAAATTCCTAATCCCCAAAAGGCTGGTAACGCACTTGTAACGCCTCTGGTGTCCGAGGTGTCCATGGGTGACGCCGATTGCTTAAAATCAGGTGATCCGTCTGCTCGTTTACCGGCTTATGCCATAAAAAAATAAGAATAGACGAGTAGAATTAATAAAGACTCTTGGTCTTTTTGTAATGACAGATTACGCTAGAAAATTAAAGACACATCAAAGAAGTTCCTTAGAGAAAGTCGGCTATAAAGTCATTTCAATTTGTTGTCATTACCTATTTACACATAACATCACGCCGTTTATCTTGGAAGGGGTAGGCAGAGGTGTACATTATGCCACTGTACAATGTAACACCCACTTTTCACTATTTATGTTATGAGTCGCATGTAATCGGGAGTGAGCCTATTGCCATATACCGGGCACAATTCCAGACTCCGTGCTACAATAAGAATTTATAAAAAACCCACTAATACTTTGCCCGACCCGGGAATTGAACCCGAGACCCCTTGTCCGACAGTCCCACTTGCGACGACTCGGGCAACGAGGCAGCTATTTATTTACACCTATTTACAACAAACACAAAATAAGTTTTAAACATAATAATACACCAAAAAAGTATTAAAAAACAATAAATTGACGTACGCAAACTGATTAAGAAGTTTATGGAACAATTAGTCAAGTTAGCCGAAGTCTAGTGGATTTACCCGCGTTTTAACCACTGGGCAATAATATGTACACTACACATTACACATCAATATGAAATCCAGTATATACTGACCGTTGAGTATGTAAAATATCACACAAAGAAAGACCACGACAAACTGGTTTTGTATAACTTGATCTGCTGTTTGTACGTCTTGTCTCGTCAAGTCTATGTCCCAGGCCCCTATTCCATCGATGTAACGGACGTTGATTAATTCGCTCTACCTACCTTGGAGCCTGTCCCTAATTAGGGCAGATAAGGTTATCATTACAACTTGGGAATTGACAAGGGTTTCGAATAATAATATGGTTTAACACGTTTCTGTATGGTTTGTGAAGGTTACATGCGTTATGGAGTTGTGATGTTAGGCGAGGGTTAGGAAGGGAATCTAACAGGTTCTTTAGTTTTAAAGTTGCTTAGTAATATTTCATAGAAGCTATTTGTTTATTTGCCAAATTTATACCTAAATATTCACTACGGAATATTAATATTTCTGTTCGTATTTTATACCTCGAGAAATAGCAGAACAGTGGTTGATTGGGCCATCAATATTGAACAGAAGAACACGGCTTTTCCAAAGTTAAACATCATAAACAAATGAAGCGACATTTAAATCAGTTGATGCGACATTCCAATTTGTTGATGTTCTACGTTTAAAATCAAAGTTTTTAATTTGGTAAGTCCCAAGCCACGAGTGCGAATTGTCGAACGATTTTTGATCAGAGACTTCGTACGGCTTACTAAGATGTCTGGAAGTGTATCATATGACATTTCACGCCTACATGTAGAGGCTTTTAGGCTTATTGGACGTAACCGATTTTAATAGCGTACGGGTCGTGTCACACAATCGGATCCCGATTTTTCAGTCCAGTGACCACACGTTTTAATGCCTGTCCAGTGGGCCGATTTATCCTTTTCTTCCAAGTGCTTACAATATCCAAGGTGGATCAAATTATTGTTATGTGCGTTGCTTGACTTGTGGGTCGTTTCGTTGGACTTTGTAAAAATGTTATTAAAACTAAACTTTTAGTTTTATGTAATTGGTTTGGTAAATCTAATGGCATCAATAATAAAAAGTTACTTTGAAAAGTTTGGCAAGGGATCAGATTTGTTATTTTTCTGGTATTGCATATAAACATAACATTATTATCTTGCAATCCTTTTATTGTGCGAAACGAACTTTCTTTGGAACTAAACAAAAGACATTGGTCTATCCCTTCATTCATTCCATACAAAATAATTGAATAAATTTTGAATCAATTCGTTAA